TCGCAGAAGCATACGAGAAGCTCGGCCTGTCATTGAACATTGAGAAAACCAAAGTGCTCTTCCAGCAGTCACCAGCCAATCCCTCTCCAATGCCAGAAATACAGCTTAATGGTGTAACATTAGAAAATGTTGACCATTTCCGCTACCTTGGCAGCCACCTCTCCACAAAAGTCAACATTGACACTGAAATACAACACCGCCTGAGCTCTGCGAGTGCAGCATTTTTCCGAATGAAGCAGAGAGTGTTTGAGGACTGGGACATCCGTAGGAATACCAAAGTGCTTGTTTATAAAGCTATTGTCCTCCCAACCCTGCTATATGCCTGCGAAACGTGGACTGTCTACAGACGTCACATGCAACTCCTGGAACGATTCCATCAGCGCTGCCTCCGAAAATCCTGCAAATCTTGGGAAGACAGACAGACAAACGTCAGCGTGCTGGAAGAAGCAAAGACCACCAGCATTGAAGTGATGGTCCTCCGCCATCAACTCCGCTGGACCGGCCACGTTGTCCGGATGCCTGACCACCGTCTCCCAAAGCAGTTGCTCTACTCCGAACTCAAGAACGGAAAACGGAACTTTGGTGGACAGGAAAAGAGATTTAAAGATGGGCTCAAAGCCAACCTTAAAAACTCTGGCATAGACACTGAGAACTGGGAAGCCCTGGCCCTTGAGCGCTCCAGCTGGAGGTCAGCTGTGACCATCAGTGCTGCAGAATTCGAGGAGGCACGAGTGGAGGGTGAAAGAGAGAAACGTGCCAGGAGGAAGGCGTCAAGCCAACCCCGACCGGGACCGCCTTCCACCTGGAAACCAATGCCCTCACTGCGGGAAAAGATGCAGATCAAGAATAGGGCTCCACAGCCACCTACGGACCCACAAGGAAATCCATAATGGAAGACCATCTTACTCGTCCAACGAGGGATCGCCTAAGTAAGTAAGTAAGGTGGGGACAAGAGAGAGGGCCTTCTCGGTTGTGGCCCCCCAACTCTGGAACTCTCTCCCCAGGGAGATTAGATTAGCCCCCACGCTATCCAACTTTTGGAAAGACCTGAAGTCTTGGATGTTCCAATGTACCTTTGAATAATAGCTTATATTATATTTATAATGGACTGATCAAGTCTGCCTAACCCTCTTCTTTAGGTAGGATCTCCAGCACTTTATTTGGTCCCCATGTTAGCCACCCTGAGTCCCTTCGGGGAGATGGAGGTGGGATATAAGAATAAAGTTGTTGTTGTTGTTGTTGTTAAAGGACAAAAATGAGAGAAAGTGAAGCAACAAGATGTTTTGGTTCCTTCCACAATCTCAGTGCCGAGTTCAACTGAAAAGCATGGTCAATTTCTATAGCTCTTCCTCAAAGCTAAGGGCTTAATCTTTCCTTATGAGATAGTAGATGGGTGTACCTCTGAGAGGTACAACTGGAATCACAGTGCCTACAATTCCCAGCCCCCCAGGCATCCCAGAAGGATATCGTGGTTGATAGTATTGAATGCCGCTGAGAGAGCTAAAAGCATCATTATCCTTTGTCAGTGTTAAGATGGAGGTCATCAACTAAGGTGACCATAGCAGTCTCAACTCCATATCCTGCTCTGATGCTGGTTTGAAATGGGTCAAGGAAATGTGTATCATCCAAGATTTCCTAGACTTAGCTTTAAAAAGGAAAATTAGACACCCCATTACCAGCTTCTGCCCCAATGATGGCATCTACGTCAGCTCTTATGTGAAAGATTTTGTCTCTGAAATGATTATTAAAGACATCACAGTGAGCTATGTAAGGTTCTAGGAGCAGGCTCAGAGGAGAGGGTACCTGAGTTAGACATCTCACCTCCCTGAATAGCTCGGCATACTGACACAACTGAAATGTGGGATACTGACATTGAGTGACTACTTGGTTATCTCTTTAGAGCACAACAGGATCTGGTAAGTAGAGCTGGGAGAAAGAACTCAATGAGTCTCTGAGTAGGCATTTATAGGACCATATTGTCAGACCCAATTGTTTCATACTTGCTCTAATTTTAACAGTGAAATGTGAAATGCAGAGATGGGAGTTAGGGAAGAAAGGAGCTTTTGTAACTGAGATTAATGCTGTCTTTCCATAACTGTGTAGCACTTTCATATTTTCAAGGCATTACTTATAGCTACAGATCTAGACTGAATTCATTTTCCTGCTTCTTAAGTGGCATTTTGCTAGGATGTTCATTAATTCTTTATTTTTTGGCTGTATACTGATGTAGACTGGCTGTAAACAAGTCAAGGGAAATTAGCATTCTAAAATATAGGAAAGCTGTTTATGAACAGATGAAGGAAATCACATAATATAGCTAAGCTACAGCCTTTAGAATTATAAATATTTTTATTTCAGTGCATTGCCTGAAGGAAAATATTGTGTATTAGTGTGTGTGTTTTAAAAACATGAAACTGAAAAACTAAAAATAACTTGCTGTTTCAAATAGCTAACATGCTTAAAAGTTACAGTGAAGCTTCCATGAAGAGGTTCATATGTTTAATTGAGGAAATTCGAAATCTATGAAAGCCTTGATAATTAACAAAACCTCTAAATTGGTTTTTCAGTTGTAATTATTCCACTTGAGTCCATTAAGATATTGAAGAAACTAACTGCAAAGTGAGAATTATTTATTATTATTTATTTACTGCATTTGTTGACCGCCGTTCTCAGCCCTAGGGCGACTCACGGCGGTGTACAACATATAAAAACAATTTACAATAAAGGCAATATCACAAACAACAATAACAACATCACTATCAATAATACAATTACACTAAATCATTCGCGACGTCTCATCATAGAATCACAATCCAATCTCGTTATCCATATTCCTTTCCAATCATCATTGCCAAATGTTGTAGCACTTAGTCAAACGCCTTCTCAAACAACCACGTCTTTAGTCTCTTGCGGAATGTCATAAGGGAGGGCGCCTGTCTGATGTCTACAGGGAGGGTGTTCCACAGCCGGGGGGCCACCACCGAGAAGGCCCTATCCCTCGTCCCCGCCAGGCGTGCCTGTGAGGCAGGCGGGATCGAGAGAAGGGCCTCCCCAGACGATCTCAAGGTCCTCGTGGGCTCATAGGCCGAGATGCGGTCAGACAGGTATTTTGGGCCGGAACCGTTTAGGGCTTTGTAGGCCAACCAGCACCTTGAATTGGGCCCGGTAGCAGATCGGCAGCCAGTGGAGCTGGGACAACAAGGGCGTTGTATGCTCCCTGCGTCCCGCTCCTGTTAGTAACATGGCTGCCGAGCGTTGGACTAGTTGGAGCTTCCGAGCTGTCTTCAAAGGCAGCCCCACGTAGAGAGCGTTGCAGTAGTCTAAACGGGATGTAACCAGAGCGTGGACTACCGTGGCCAAGTCAGACTTCCCAAGGTACGGGCGCAGCTGGCACAAACTTTAGCTGTGCAAATGCTCCCCTGGTCACCGCTGAAACCTGGGGATCCAGGCTCAACGATGAATCCAGGATCACACCCAAGCTGCGAACCTGCGCCTTCAAGGGGAGTGCGACCCCATCCAGCACAGGCTGTAACCCTATACCCTGTTCGGCCTTGCGCCTGACCAGGAGTACCTCTGTCTTGTCTGGATTCAATTTCAATTTGTTCGCCCTCATCCAGACCATTACAGCGGCCAGGCACCGGTTCAGGACCTCGACAGCCTCCTTAGTAGCAGGTGGGAAGGAGTGACAGAGTTGGACATCATCTGCGTACAGATGACACCGCACCCCGAAACTCCGGATGATCTCACCCAGCGGCTTCATGTAGATATTAAACAGCATGGGGGACAGTATAGAGCCCTGTGGAACCCCACAAGTCAAAGGCTGTGGCGTTGAACAGGTGTCCCCCAATAACACCTTCTGGGTGCGGCCCTCCAGAAATGACCGGAGCCACTGCAGAACAGTGCCCCCGAGGCCCATTTCCGCAAGACGCCCCAGAAGGATACCGTGGTCGACGGTATCGAAGGCCGCTGAGAGGTCCAGGAGCACCAACAGGGACACACTCCCCCTGTCTAGCTCCCAGCGCAGATCATCCACTAAGGCGACCAAGACCGTCTCGGTACCATGTCCCGGTCTGAAACCAGACTGTGCCGGATCCAGAATTATCCGTGTCTCTCAAGAATACCTGGAGTTGTGAGGCCACAACGCTTTCCATGACTTTGCCCAAAAAGGGAAGATTGGAAACAGGCCGAAAGTTGTCAAATTTAGTGGGGTCCAGTGATGGTTTTTTCAACAGCGGTTTTATAATAGCTTGTTTTAAGCTCGCTGGAATCTCGCCTTCCCGAAGGGAGGCGGTAACCACCACCGTTACCCACTCAGCCAATCCCCCTCTGGCCTCCTTCAGAAGCCAGGATGGGCAGGGGTCTAGGATGGATGTAGTGGGCCTCATTCCTCCAAGTATCTTGTCCACATCCTCGGGCTTCACAAATTGAAAAGAATCCATCAAAATAGGACAAGCAGGTGCTCGTGTCACATCCTCAGAGACTGCATTTAACATGGTGTCCAGACCAGAACGGATCAAAGCAACTTTGTCTGCAAAGAACCGAGCAAATGCTTCGCAGCGCGTGGCCGAATTGTCAGGGCTCCCGCCTGAGATGGCGGGAGTTAAAAGACCTCTGACAATCCGGAACAACTCCGCCGGACGGTTCCTTGCAGACGCAATAGTAGCCGCAAAGAAAGTTTTCTTTGCGGCTTTTATTGCCGCGGCATATGCCCTTAGAAAGGACACAAACCGTGTTCGATTTGACTCGCTCGGATCCAAACGCCACACACTCTCTAGTTCCCTCTTCCTTCGCTTCATCACTGCCAGCTCCTCAGTAAACCAAGGAGCTGGTTTAGCTCGGCTACTCCGCATTCTAGAAAACTATTCTAGAATGAAATAATAAATATGGTGTTTTCTTTTTTCCCTTAGTGCCAACAAAAAATAATTTCAGATCAAGATCTATTGATGGTGATTGCCTTAGAATGCATATACAGCTGCAGACGAGATGACCAGCTGTCTCTTTGCTATGATATCTTAGAATGTCTGCCTCAGAGAGGTTATGGGTGAGTATTGCCAGGCACACACGTCGTTTTTAGAGTAATATTTCAAAAGCAGAGTTGGGAAGAATCCTTCATGGATAGTAGCCTAAGTAATTAAATATCTATACCCACTGTCCCAAGAATCATTGAATCCATGGAGTTAGAAGAGACTACTAGGGCCACCCAGTGCAAGCCTCTATAGCACAACCTGGGGAACTCCAGGTGTCTGGCCTCCAACTCCCAGAAGCCCTAGCCTGCCTGTGTAATGGTCAGGAATTCTGGGATCTGAAGTCCAAAACACCTGGAGGGCCATAGGTTGTACAGGCCTGCTCTACAGGAGCATACTCCAGAGAAGGAAACTCTACCATTCTCAAAGGCAGCATAATCCACTCTCAAATAGCTTTTACCATCAGGAAGTCACAACTTGTAAGGAAAGGACTACAAGAAAAGGACCACAGCTGACTGGTAGAGCACATGTTTCACAAATAGGGCCCTTGCTTACTACCAATTGCCTCAGGTAGCATTTGGAAAGGCAGTATGTGAAACTCAATAAAGTAGCTATCAATACTGAGGATGTGAAGAATACTTGTAAATGTTATTGTCCTTGAGACACCCCATCAACAAAGGGTCAACTAATTTTGTGTGAATATCTCATTCTTAATATTGATCTGTGTGGTGGAGTGTGTGTGTGTGTGGGGGGGGGGATAGGAATTCCTAATATTTTGTACAGAAAATTGTGTGGTTTTGTTTGAAAACTTCAATGAATTGCTCTCTCTATAAAATTTTAATGCAAAATATATGAAGAATGGGGAAGGGTACAAGAGTGGATGTAGAACAGGGGCATTCTAAACTTCTTGTATCTTCATCTTCCTCCATTGCTGTCTAATACAAAAAAAGGTTTCTATGATGTTAAAAAGGAAAAGGGGATAAAGGTAAAGGTAACAACAAAGGTGAATGGTAAGAGATGAAGAAAAGGAATATTACATTCTAGCAGGTCTTTCTTCTTGTAACTCAAATTTGTGTTTGTGAAAGAAATGATTTTTATGAGAGGTTATTTTCTAATTTACTTTTCTCTTAGTATGTAATATAATTTATTTGACATCCCATTTAGCCCCGAAACAGACATGACTAGCAATCTTCATGATAAGGTGGATGAACTGGAACAAATTCTTAGGTAAGAATCTCCCCCCCCCCCCCACCCACCTTGAAATGTTTGCTCTCTTAAAACATAATTATATTTTACATGTTATGTCATTAATATTACAATAATGATTTCATTGTTATAACATCCAAGAAATGTTGGAGCATAATAAAGTAAGATTCTCTGCACCCTTGAATATCTGCTCCGAAGGATTCCTGAGTTCTCTGGAGTGTCTACAGCAGTAGTGTCCAACCTTTGTTCCTCCAAGTCTTTGGGACTCCCAACTCCTAGAAACCTTGGTCAGCTTGTCCAATGGCCAGAAATACTGGGAGCTGAAGTCCAAAAACCCTGGAAGACCAAAGGTTGAACACCACTGGTCTACAGCAAAATGAGAAATGGTTCCACTGATGGAATTGGCTTCACAAATTGGCAAATAACATTGCTTTTACACCCCACATTTACTTGGGCACTAAGATATTATCCTACTATGTAATGAGACAAAGACCCAAAATTTCTTACATCCAAAATCTATATCTTATTCATTTATTGCTTCTTGGACATTTTCTAATACAGCAAACTAGAAGTAGAGAGAGAGGAAGTGGGGAAGAGAAGTATAGTGTGAGTGAGAAAAATAAATATTTAGTCCTCAAATGGTGAATATTTCTTATGGATTAAAGATTAATTACAGTTTTTAAGGAGAGCCCCCAGTGGCGCAGTGGGTTAAACCCCTGTGCTGGCAGGACTGAAGACCGACAGGTCGCAGGTTTGAATCCGGGGAGAAGCGGATGAGCTCCCTCTATCAGCTCCAGGTCCTCATATGGGGACATGAGAGAAGCCTCCCACAAGGATGATAAAAACATCGAATCATCCGGGCGTCCCCTGGGCAACATCCTTGTAGACGGCCAATTCTCTCACACCAGAAGCAACTTGCAGTTTCTCAAGTCGCTCCTGACACAACAAAAAAACAAAACAAAAAACAACGGTTTTTAAGTTGATATTTAATTAAAAAGTGATCTAAATGCCATATATGTGTCCATGTATAGTTGCTAAATGTAAGTTTCCTGGGGGGAAAAAAAAGCTGTTCCAAGAGGTCAAGCCATTAATATCTTATTTTAAAATATAGAAAAAAAATACCCATTATTTCCTATATTGTAATATGACCTATTGGGCAATTAGAAAAGATTGGTTAGTCCCTCTTTGACAGGATCATGATTTTTATACTTGTACTTATTTTATATTTCAAGAGTGCAAATCTTCATAAATTTATTTCTCACATACTAAAAGGGATTTTTATATATGTCAGTTTTTTCCTCTAAGAAAATTGTCAGTGCAGTTTTCATCTATAGTTGGAAAGTTACAATGTTTGGGCATTTTCTGCCCACAAAACAAGTGCCCTGAATGGAAAATGTCATTTTGTGTGCAAAAAAACAACATTTCTTTACAGATAACCATATTCTGTGCAAGCAACATCTTTTCTGCATAGGAATGTTTTTGCATAGAAAATGTCGTTTTATGCAAAGGAACAGTACGCCTTTTAACTCATAGGCAAGCAGAACATTTCTTGCCTATTGCCCTTGCTTTTTTTCTGACACATGTGAAAATTTCTTTTGGGCCATTTTTTCAAGTGTTATCCAATTTTTTTTTTCACGATTACTATTGAAAATTGCATGTATATGCAGACAAAATTCAGTCTTTTTTTCCTGTTTGGCCCCGCACTAGCATTTGGTCATGTTATCTTTACATGTGCAAAGACTATTTTGCCACTATACGGAACAGATGGCATGACTTCCAGGAGAGATGATGGGTGGTCCCTGTAGTCTAACTGGGTGGAAAGATAGTTTGACATAATGATCCAAATGACATCAATCCTGAATGTCTTTTCAGAGATATCTCTGGCTGTGGGTTTTATTTTGCACCTAAAGAAAATGAGATTCTCCTTGAGCCCATGTGGTGATACAACTGAGTTAGGTAATGGCAGGACAGAGTTATACTTGATCTGAATGTTTAATGGTGCATATGATTGTTATTGCAGTGTTTCAGAACTTTTGGAGAAACACGGACTCCAGAAACCAGTATTGTTTGTGAAAGAGACACAGAACAACCCAGAAGAAGCACACAAGCTGATGATTAGGTTAACAAGGCACACTGGTCGCAAGTGAGTTCATAACAATAATGTTGAATGTCTTGACTACCATTTTCTTTCTTTGACTGTTTGAAAATGAACTACCCTATTTATTCGAGTCTAATGCTCATCTTTTTTGGCTAAATGACCTTGCCAAAATTAGGGTGCATCCTTGGCTGAGAGCTGAGCGTTACAATTTCAGTCTCTCACCATGAATCAACTTTTTCAACCAGGATCCAGCTTATATAGCTAAGGAAGCAGTAATTTGAAGCAAGCAACTCTGTGTCAACCTTCGTTTTCCGCCTGTTTATATGAGTGTAATAAAATTGCTTCCCATATAGAAATGTCATGAGGATCCCTGAGATACTGCATATGAAGCATTGTATAAATAATAATTTAGCGTGAATGTTTTCAATGCACCCACAAGTGTGCTGTTCCCGTTGGGGGTTTTTATGTGGTTTTTAAGATGAAGTATTTAATCTCCATGTTGACACATTCTCTGGAAGCTATTTGCTTATAAATGTTGACCTTTATCTCTTAAAAGGCAGCCTCCTGTTAATGAGATGCACTGGATGGGGTTGTTGCAAGATATGCTGGAGATGCAGCAGAATGTCTACACATGCTTAGAGCCAGACACATGCTATGAGGTGATCCTTTCTTTTTGTGTCTCCATTTGAGGGGTACCTGTTGGTGCTGTGATGTCCACTTGTATTAGTTAACTCGCATGTGTTAATTCTTCCTTCTTGACCTGTAACAATGAAATCGCAGCTCATATATTTGGTCTGTATCTGTCTCACAAACATTTAAGAAAATACTTTCCTTAAAAGGATATTCTTCATCTTTCAGAGTAGGCTCTCCATCTAGATAGCCATTAGGTCCACTTTGCTAGTTGACTTTGTCTAACAAATGATTTTCTCATGAGCCTCTGGTAATAAATGCTAGTCACTGTTGGGTGGTGAGGCATGTTATTTAAGCACTGGATATAGAAGTTCCAGATTATTTAAGGTAATTTGGTTTTCTACCAGACTGGAATTGACCCAGTTTTTGATTAACCCGTATCGGGTGCTGAAGGGCTAGGTTGACATAACCTCGGAGGAGGAAGTGTGTGCATTTTGTACCCACTTAAATGCTTAAGTGAGTACAAAACATATCAAAACATATCAAAATACACAATTGAACACAATAATAACAGTGAGTTTATCACAAAGAATTAAGCATTGAAATTTATTTATTTTTTGTCATGTCAGGAGCAACTTGAGAAACTGCAAGTCGCTTCTGGTGTGAGAGAATTGGCCATCTGCAAGGACGTTGCCCAGGGGATGCCCGGATGATTTGATTTTTTTTATCATCCTTGTGGGAGGCTTCTCTCATGTCCCCGTATGAGGAGCTGGAGCTCATCCACCTCTCCCCGGATTCGAACCTGTGACCTGTCGGTCTTCTGTCCAGCCAGCACATGGGGTTTAACCCACTGTGCCACTGGCGGCTCCTAATAATTGAGATAAAAATATAACAGATGCTATGGACTCATGGAGTTGTATTTTTTTATCCTTCTTTGCCAAAGTGTGCTTGTGCTTACCAAACTACAACTCCCAGAACTCTATAGCATTGAGCAGTGGCAGTTAAAATTGTGTCAAATTGCATCAATTCTACAGTGCAGAACCAGCCTCATGAGCTGCATTTCTTCTGCACCATTGACAATGTCACTCTTTCCCCATCTCTCTGCCTCTATAATTTTGAGTCCATCTCATTTTAAAATTGAGTCAAGTTCCTGAAATGTTCTTTGGCTTTTTCAACATTTTTTTAAAAAACATTGCAGAAGAGAAACACTACTGACACACACACACACACATATATATGGTGTTTTGTCATATTCAGTTAAAAAAAACACCCTGAAGCTCTGAGTTTTCTGCCATTGAACAAACTAATTATGAAACACTTGTGAATTCTAAAAGACATGAGAAATGTAGATTGGAAACTTGAACTTCTTAATGTTCAGAAACTCTGAAATAGAATTGCTAACTAAACAATATATGTGAAGATGAATGGCCTTCTGGATCACTGTTATGTTTATTAAATGGTTCACTGAGCAGAAAGTTCATTTTTAATAATGTCGCACAGGGTGTGTAAAGAACTCTTGATAGATGCTTTCCTCTTTGCATTTAAAGTAAAATGCAAAATTCTGTTTCTACAGAAAATTGTTTGTATATATTCAAGATGAATTTGTCATTAAGTGAATTACAATGAGTGGTTTCTGTTTTGAATATGCAAAGATTACTTGAAATTGCTCTTTATTCTGTAGTGTGTAAGTCTTTGCGGTTTATAATTTACCTTTCAAAATCTGACATCCGTTAGCATTTACATAACCGTATGGCAGCTTATACACTTCATTGTTTATATTATCTAATCTTTAAGACTCTGAAGAGATGTTGACAGCAAATTAGAAAACTTCTGAGAAATACAATAGGAAAATGGCATATGGAGTGTAAATTGAAAAGCGAAGCTGGTTCCTCCTTCAAAAATGTGCACTAAGAGGAAAATGTGAGGAAAAATGAGCTACAGTTATAGAAGCGTAGAGCTGGAAGAGAACCCAAAGACCATCCAGTCTAACCACATGCCATTCAGGAATACATAGTCAAAGCACTCCTAACAGATGGACATATAGTCTCTGTTTAAAAACCTCCAAAGGAGGAGATTTCTTCACACTTAAAGGCAGTATATCCCACTGTCAAACAGCTCAAGAAGTAATAATATTCTGGTGGAATCTTTTCCTACAATTTGAATCTAGATTTCCACTAGTAATGTGGTCATCATATGGTCATTATCGAATCACAGAGTTGTAACAGACCACAAGGGTTATCCAGCCAACCCCATTCTGCCATGTAAAAATGCACAATCAAAGCATCCCTGACACATGACCATCCAGCCTCAGCTCAGAAACCTGCAGATAAAGAGACACCACAATGTTTAACTTGTTTCAAGACTACATACAGCACAGTTCCTTGCCCAACTGGTTTGAAGACTATTCAGACCAAACTGATCATATATCCCCCAATATATATATATATATATATATATATATATATATATATATATATATATATATTCTCTTTCCCATGCAGGGATTTTATGTTCATTTCTACAGTGGAAGATGATATAGTTTAGTGGCTAGGCACCTTCAGTCTCTGCCTTCGATAGGACTAGGAAAACATCCTGCCTAAATCCCCAAAGAGCTGTTTCCAGCCTGGGCCATAGATAGATTCTTCTGCATCTTTGGAAGACCACATCAGCAGAGTTTAATAATATATAATTTATTTATATTCTGTTCTATCTCCCCGAGGGGACTCAGGGTGGATTACAGTACCCATATATGGCAAACATTCAATGCCGTTATACAATTAACAGAGACAGACAGTACATAAACAGAGATAAAGACTTCCCATCTTTTTCCATCTCCGGTATCTGGAGGCTGTGCTCGACTCCGGCCATAGGGGTGGGTGGGGTTGTGTGTGTGCTGTCACTCCATCTTCCATGCTGAGGAGTTGTTGTCCTTAGACAATCTCCCAATCAAATCACTGGCATGTCTGCATGGACACCTTTTGTTACCTCCCCGCCAAAGTGGGGCATGTGTTTATCTATTTGTATTGCTGTTTATCTACTTGTATTGCTGTTTTCGCACTGCTAGATAAGCAGAAACTGAGCTGACAGTTGGGAGATCACCTCAACCCGAGTTTGAACTGTCAATCTTTCAGTCAGCAAGATTTTTAACTTGGTTTAACTTGCTGTGATTTTCCAGTGAGAAGCATATTAGATATTAGATATGCTTCTGCTTAATCATTGATAAAAATCAGTGGAATACACTTGAGGCAGTATATCTCACTGTTTTTTGAAATAAATAATTAAACAGAAGTGTGGTTGAGTCTCCTTTTCTGGAGGTTTTTAAGTAGAGGCTGGATGACCATCTGCCAGTGGTGCTTTGATTCTGTGTTCCTGCCTGAATTTGTCTCCCTGAATGTTTGTTTAACCATTTCTGCCTTTCTATTTTGTAGATATTTGCAGAGAGTCTTCTGTGTTCAAGCCGGCTGGAGAACATTCACTTAGCTGGGCAAATGATGCATTGTAGCATTTGGTCAATAGATCCTCCAGTTAGTGCTGCTTCTAAAGGAAAATCGCAATACCGAGTCAGCTATGAGAAAAGCCTTGAATTGGTTTTGGCTGCCAGCAGAGAGTATTTCAATTCTTCAACAAATTTGACTGATACTTGCATGGATTTGGCCAGGTAAATCAGCCCACACTCAGCGTCATCCCTGCCCCCCTTCAACTTTTAGATCGGAATTGGGGAAATTTCAGGCTTATAAAATCTGCATAATTTTTCATTAGAATTTCACGGTCTGTTAATTCATTTTAGTGCCAAAGCTGAAACATGCATACACATCTTTCCACACATACATTTCTTACTTTTTTTTCTAAGAATTCTTGATATTAGGAACCTAATTTAGGAAGTAAAGCTCCTCACTGCCACAAAATAATTGTTAAATCATTGGGAGTCAGAAAGCTTTAGTGATGCACTTAATATTAACTGGGAAATCTACTGACCCTTACACACTTAAGTATTTTTCTTGGGAACTTAAATGTGCATCATTCTACACAAGTGGTTCACAACCTGTTAGTCACCGAGTGTTTTGGCCTACAACTTCCAGAAATCCCAACCTGTTTACCAGCTGTTAGGACTTTTGGGAATTGAAGGCCAAAACATCTGGGGACCCACAGGTTGACATCCATTGTTCTACAGTATAGAACAGGGGTCCTCAAACTAAGGCCCGGGGGCCGGGTACAGCCCTCCAAGGTAATTTACCCGGCCCTTGCTCAGGGTCAACATAAGTCTGAAACGACTTGAAAGCACACAACAACAACAATTCTATCGCATCAGCCAAAAGTAGGCCCACACTTCACATTGAAATACTAATAAGTTTATATTTGTTAAAATTGTTCTTCATTTTAATTATTGTATTGTTTTAAAGTGTTTTTGCACTACAAATAAGATATGTACAGTGTGCATAGGAATTCATTCATATTTTTTTTCAAATTATAATTGGGCCCTCCAACGGTGTGAGGGACTGTGACCTGACCCTCTGTTTTAAAAGTTTGAGGACCCCTGGTATAGAATGAATGTGTTCAACACCACTTTATTGTCCTGTCTCAATGCTATTGAATCATAGGAGTTGTAGGTTTACACAGTCTTTAGCTTTTCTGCCAATATATGCTGGTGCCTTACCAAACTATAAATCTCAAGGTTTCATAACAAACAGTGTACTTGCATCCCAATTATTTCTGAAGTTGCTATAAATGTTTACGCGATGCTGGAAACTAAATTAACCCTTGATAAGTCTAGGGTGTGGCAGTCTGATTTGGCAACAGTTATCCATGATGTTTATTGTGATTCTCTCTGTGTGTGATTGTTTTTAAAGACAGTCCTGAAGCTTGGAGAACATGCCAGGTAGTCTACTAACAGATGTGTAGTATCATAGGATCCAAATATTGAAAGAATTGCATTGCATCCTGGTATTTCCTGGGCAATATGCAAGGATGTTATTTTTGACATTTAATTATTTAAACCAGTGCTTCTCAGGCTATATCTGATGTACCAGCAGGGTTTTTTTTTCCTCCAGTGTGTCAAGGACTCCAGTGTGACAAGGTACATGAAAAAAACAAGAATCAAAACATAGGCATAAATCCATGCCCAGGAACACAGGAACTTCTTTCAAAACATAAATCCATTGACATGCGCACAAGACTTTCCCAAAGATTGTAGACATAGACTTGATTGTGCAAGAACAAGACCCGAGGTGTATGCAGTAATGGTGCATTGCCTGCTTTAACCCTTTTATTAAACAACACTTTAATTTAAAGTCCACAGGCCATGAAGTCATGCCTTTGACCTCTGGTCTGTTTCAAGGATTTCTCACAGAGTCTCTGTGACCTCCGTAATCTGAGTCCCTCTTCCCGGAGATCGAGTCTCCTACTCCTACTGACCTCAGGTGTTTTCCCAGGGGAAAGACCTTTTCCTCCCATCTCCTTATCTTCCGTTGCCAAGGAATGACCAGGGGAAAGGTTTTCCCTATCTTCCAGTGCCAAAGCATCTCCATCTCCTCCCTGCTCTGAAGCCATTTCTTTCTGACCCGGCACACAACCATCCTCCCAGACAGATTCATGTTCCAAAATCCTCTCATTTCTCACACTGGAAAGGCCATCATTCCTCACAACCTTTGACTGAACAATTCCCTCATCTTCAGCCTCAGGCTGAACCACAACACTATCAGCTACAGCAGTTTCTTTCTTTCCTGGAAATTTGCACTGGTCCAGGGACTGTCCTTTTGAGTATCATTAATTTAATTAACCTAGTGCAGCAAGCTTCCCTTACCTGCAGTGGGTCAGTGGTCAAGCTTTTTTCTATATCACTTCCAAGCACGGAACGTATTTTCTCTAGAGTTGCATCTCATCTCCCTTGCCCCTGTGTTTTTAAAAATATATGCTTCATGTTTAATTATTTATTATATTTTATTGGATTGTTCCCTTTTAAAAAATACACAGACACATACAGCTTTGGTTTATTTCAGAAAAGCAGCCTGAAAATTCTTAAAATAAACACAAGCAAACCCAAACCTGTAATTTGCCTCCATTATATTTTTACCCTGTTAGGGAATTTGAGCATGAGCAGTAATCGGCAAATGTAATGTAACAGTACATTGTGATTATATCTGTGTAAACTGCACAGCTGTAAAATATAAATGTAGTTGCTGTATGCAGAATGTTTCCACGCATCGCCACCTGCATGCTTTCTGAATGTAAGGCTCACCTAAGTAGTAAGGAGATGAAAACAAATTGATTATTTTAAAAGAAAAGAAAAGAAAAGGCTCAGCAGCCTTGAGCGTACACTGCACAGGAAATACTTGTAATTTATTTATCAGCTGCCATAGGGGCAATGTAATGTTTTAGAGAACAAATAAAAAGACATTGCTTATAACATCTTCCAGACTTCATGACTTGATAAATAATGAGATTTTTTTAAATAAAGAAGTTTGTTAGTATTAAATTAAGGTGGTGTTAAGAACCACAATTACTTGTCTGCCTTCTTGTCTATGTGCAAAATTTATGTAGCTATGGTTACCATTATTTAATTTATTTCATTTAAAACTTCAGTTAGATCTTTTTTTCTTAATCATAAACAAGCAGGATACTGGGATAAAATTAGAAGCGTGGGTCAGAAATTGTTTTCTTAAAATTCGTGCTGTGAGAACGGCTCAATTATGTGCGTCTTAACACAAATTTAAACTTTTGTTACTGGGACTAAATGTTGGTGAGTGTTCCATAAGCTTGATACAATATAGTGTGTTTCTTTTGTGGAAGTACAAGGTAAGATTAACTGACATTTAGACATTTCTAAATTTCATGATTTCAAGAGAAGAACACAGTATTTTATATAGCCTGCATTTCAGGCCCCTTCCACACAGCTATGTAAAACCCACATTGAACTGGATTATATGGCAGTGTGGACTCAGATTATCCAGCTCAAAGCAGATATTGTGGATTATCTGCCTTGATATTATGGGTTATATGGCTGTTCAGAAGTGCGTTGAGGTGTCCTCACGTCCGGGTCCTCTCTCTTTCCTCCCCAATATTCATATCATTGCATGAAGGAATGCATTTTTCCGTTTTGGCATTGGAAAGATCCTTCTCAACATCTTTCACAAGAAGAAGGTCCAGCAATTCTAAAATGCCTCGCTCTCATAGCCCTTATCATTTTGGGTACAAGTGCAGGATAAAATAGTTGTTCTCTCCACCACTCTTTCGGGAAAGGTTTTTGGTAAGAAGGGGCATTTTTTTTATATGCCTTTTTATGAATGCTATACAGACAGTCCCCAGTTATGGACACAATAGGTTCTGTAGGTTTGTTCTTAAGTTGAATTTGTATGTAAGCTAGAACAGGTACATTTTTAAGTGTAACTCCCACCAACATTTTTTTAATTGGATAGCATAGGGAAGGGCTGACATCCCTTTTGCTATCTGTGTCCCTGTCTAGAAAATTTCTACCCCTGTGACAATTGGATTTTGAAAAAAAATTGGCTTGTTGCGGAAACAAGGATTTTTTTTCTGTTGTGTCAGAAGCAACTTGAGAAACTGCAAATTGCTTCTGGTGTGAGAGAATTGGCCGTCTGCAAAGATGTTGCCCAGGGAAAACTCAGATGTGTTACCATTGTGTGAAGCTTCTCTCATGCCCTTGCATGGAAAGCTGGAGCTGACAGACAGGAGCTCACCCCGTCTCACAGATTTGTACCTCTGAACTTCAGGTCAGCGGTTCAGCCAGCACAAGGATTTAACCCAGTGATTCTCAACCTGTGGGTCTCCAGATGTTTTGGGCTTCATCTCCCAGAAATCATAACAGCTGGTAAACTGGCTGGGATTTCTGGAAGGTGTAGGGCAAAACACCTGGGGACCCACAGGTTGAGAACCATTGGTTTAACCCATTGAGCCACTGCAGCTCCCACAAGGATTGTTGAGAAAACTTCAATGGAGATACCTTTTCCCTGTGATAACATCTCTTTCAAGAGTGAATTTCCCTTTCTGGGGATAGATTTCCTCTCAGTTCTTTGGTGTCTCAACTCGTTTCTTAACTATGAGTTATATGTAAGTTGGATGTCTGTAATTCGGGGACTGCCTGCATTGGTTTATCAATTCGGCTTCCTTCTTTCTAGTTCTCCTTCCAGTAAGAAATAGGAAAGAGGCACACTCTTAAATAATTGCTGTAGTCGCTAGGACAAGTTTTACATTCTTGGTAGGAGGGCTATTTTCTTGAAACAGTAAAGTGTGAGGGATCGTATCTGGGAGTGCTGGAGGAGGTCAACACAGGATGCATCTACAGTACAAATAATGCAGTTTGACACCACTTTAATTGCTATGGCTAAGTATTATTGAATCATGGGAACTATAGTTTTATCAACACTTTAGCCTTCTCTGCCAAAGAGTGTCAGTACCTCACCAAAATATAAATCCCATAATGTATCCATAGTATTGAACCATGGCAGTTAAAGTTGTGTCAAATTTCATTCGTTCTGCAGTGTAGTGGATGCTTCCTTAGAAGGGACGGGAAGCCTAGTTAAGGAGGTTCTTTATCTTTCCAACTCCTTTTAATTAAATTGGAAACCTATTGTTTTCCCCTGTACATTGGGTAACATGTCAGAGAAATGGGCTATCACAAAAAAAGTACTCTTAAAAGGTTTGAATAGTTTTGTTGTGACAGTCTCATATCCGGGGCAATAGTGGCACTTCACCCAGGCTTGTTTAATCTTAATAATCAATCTATTTTGGATGGCTTGGGTGAAAGCAAAGAACAATATTTGTCTGTGTTTACTTCTAATATAGACCCTCATTCCTCCCACTTCAATCTGTCTTTCCTTCTGTTTCCTTGGGTTTTTTTTTTTCCTCCTTGTCAAATGTTGTGTGTCTCTTCTTGCCAGTGTTTTTTTTTTCTTTTGTGGGGGGAAAACAAGGTTGTAGATATGATTTTAAAACATAGCAAAATGACAAGATATCTTCTTATTTCTTTCTTAAGGAAAATTTTATTTTTATAATATATAATTTTAAAATACCTCTGCAGAGAGGAAAGAACTTCACCCCCTACCTAGAAGATGAATTCCTCCTTTAGCACCATCACTGCTATTAATGTGAAGTGAAGTGTCTGATTTGTTACCTAGCATTAGCAATTTTCTAGACTAGTTATATTGTCATTTAAGTGAAAATTGTTCCAGAAGAACATCGCTTTTTAAAGATAAGATAAAGTCACTAAGTATGCTGAAATAAAATTTGAGAGAAAGAGAAAAACCCGTAGAAATAAATTTTATTAATATTAATAAATAATATTAAGTACATTACTATTTTACCCTTCCTACTGGCACCTATCCACATCATGAGCTCATGTTTGCCTATAAAATAATTATTGGAGGGCCTTATCAGTTTTTGCAGAGATCTTTAAATTTTAATTTAATTAGATAATTCAAGTGCTCCAGCTGAACTGTTAATAACTGGCTTTTTATTGCCTTCTTTTTTATGGAATAGCTGCACTTACTAAACTCCAAGTATGCTTTTGTGGCATCTCGAGTCAATCTTTTCCTTGTTTTTGAGGAGTAAAATCTGAGGTTTGCAGTTGGCTGAACTGGCTGATCATTCTTTGTACGTCACAGAACTCCAAATCCCAGGATCCATAGGATTTATTTATTTATGTACAGTATTTATATTCCGCTCTTCTCACCCCGAAGGGGACTCAGAGAGAATCACAGAACACATATACGACAAACATTCACTCCCATTATACACTGACAAGATAGACAACTGTACATAGATAGAGGTATATATAGGCTTTCCCATCTTTGGCACCCTGGAGGCTGTTCTCAATTCTGGCCACTGGGGGTATGTGTGCTGTCCCTCCATTTTCCCTGCCGAAGAGCTTTGTTTATAAACTTCCTCCTTGATCAAATCGCTGGCATTTTTCTGGCATTTCATTATGGATGCCTTAAATACCTCCCCATTTAAGCGTATTTGAAACTGCTAGGCAGGCAGAAGCTGGGCTAAAGGCCAGGAGCTCACCCTTCTAACTGTCAACCTTTTGGTTGGCAGGATTTACTGCAGCTGGGTGCTAACCTACTATAATAATAAATAATAATAATAACTTTATTTTTGTTCCCCACCTCCATCTCTCTGAAGGGACTTGGGGCGGCTTACATGGAGACAAGCCCAAGATTCAACGTGGTTAAAATGTAACACAATACAATTCATAAAAGCAATGTCAACAATATAAAGACAACCATACACAATACAATATATAACAACCATCAGTGGTCTGAGTAGTTCACAATTGTACTGTACTAAAGCCCGGCCCTTTAGCCCAGCCCTTTAGGATGAATCTGTGGTAGTTATAGTGCCATCGCTGCGTAGTGTGAACAAAACCATGTAATGTCTTCTCTTTCCTATCTTAGATTCTTTTTCTTTTACACTCTCTCTGTTTTGTGACTTTGAGATCTCGTGGGATATATGGGGACAGCCTCCTTTTAGGACTTTCTTCTTTACTGTGTTTTTATGTTGTTTCATTTTGTCTTCTCACAGTTTATACTTCCATAACTGATGATTCTCAGTTGTTTGGTCAGTGTATTATAGTGGCATTTTTACCAGCATGCAACATACAGATTTGAAATAAAGACTGAGATGCTATATAGGCTATACAGCTACAGTGTTGTAACCACTCCCCATCCTTTTTGAGCCAACCTCTATATTCCACCTTAAAAGTCAGACTGCCATACTGAACAACAGAGTTGTGTAGTACTGGTGGGAAGGATGTCCACTCCTGCCTCTGATCTCCCATGCAGCAAGGACTTGTAGTAGGACATTGTAAGATCCCCGCTGCATTTGTTTGTGGCAAGGGGCTTGTGTGTCATCCTCTAGTGCCCTACTCTGTATAGCAATCTAGCTGTTGAGGTGAGTTTTGGGGATATTTAAAGTTATGGCAAGGATGGGATGATGCGACCTTCGGTCTAGCTTACGGTATTGTAACTGTCTAAGAAGAATGCCAGCAAGAGTTTAGAGTAGTTCAGCTTAGTAGACCTGGCAACTGTTTGGAGTCCTTAAAGCTGTTTGTTTCTTTTAAGATCCTGCTTACAGCTTATCACAGACTGTCCACCAGTTGTTCAGGAGGAATTGGACCTCATTCGTGCTCTTAGTTATCTTGAAGACTTTGGTGTGAAAATTTTGCCATTACAAGGTAAATATGCTAACTGTATGCTGCATGATATCTTTTAGAAGCTCTTAGAGATGTCTTGAATGTTGTTTGAGATCCCCCCTAAGCCGGACAGCATCACTATTGAAAATGATCTGAGTTTCTTGATTGTTTGTTTTGTTTGCATATTTGGACACTGTACTTTGCTTGTAAATATAAATGGCATTACACTTGTGCATTATAATTCTGATTTAGATTGTGCATTTTGGTTAAATAATAGCAGAGCCAGTAATTTACAAGTGGTCCCAATTTTTATTTTTCCAATGTACTTCAAAGAAAAGTGTCTTAATACTGACTTAGTGTATCTGTTATAAATAGTCAATTGAAAATGTTCAATGCATTCTTGTCCCACATTTTTAAAAAAACAGGGGATGTTCTGGAGGTTTCCTGAAGCTCTGGGGCTGCCTCGGACTTTGTTGCAGTGTAAACACTTGGGCCAGTTCTGAGTTAGGACTGGCTGTGGATGTTCATATAGCCATCTTTTCTCGGACTCAGACTGCCCATTGTCACTCTCACGTCCTCAGCTTAGCAGCAATTTAGCAGAGTGTGAAATTGCTGATGGTTATTACTCATTGCACCCAGTGATGCTAGCATGGCATTCCAACTAGCACTGGTAGATGTAATGAGCCAAAACCACCAAAAAATTCCTTGTGTTTGCCACTGAGCCAAGGACAAGTGGGAGGGGGGGGGTGACCATATATATGCCTTCCAAGCACCAAGCCGTCTTGATGGCTTGCAGTGCAGACACCTGCTTTTGTCAAGCCGGCTCATAGATGGCTGTGTGGTCTGTTTCGGTACTAATCCAGAGTACCCCGCTCCAGATCAGTTCTTCAATATGGGGCCTGTGCAGATAGGCCCTTCAGATTTTTTTTTGTAAAGCAGAGAAGCATGAAGCACAGAGCTGAAGTTCTGTGGACAAGGTTAAACTGAATATAGGCAGTTGGAACAAAGAGGTGAGAGTTTTCATGAAATCATATAGTAAATACATATACAACATTCTTTTGTTTTTATATGGGTGCAAATATCTTTCCACTGTTGCTGTAACAATAATAAAAGCTTTTTTCCTGGTAAGTGTCAGTGAAAGAGTGGAGAAGATTACACCTTATTTTGCCCTTACTGTAACCTGGCTTCATGATGGTGGAATACAGCTATGCGATGTCACCCTGAAGCCAGACAGACCAAAAACAATGTTTCCTAGAATCACTGCTGTCTTTTAGAAACCTTTGAGGGAAGCAGCAGAAGCAGGAACTATAAATTTTGCCTGGTGATTAATGGGGAAAACACTTTGCCCCTTGTGTGTGTTCCTACCAATCATTGAAATGGCTCCTGTCTACAGAACACACCAACAAACTAATAAAATTAGATGTGTGTTTTTCTGCTGAAAGGCCTATGTATACCCTAAAGACTTCAGATTCTATCTGATCCTGGAGACTCACATTTGCATGAGAGAATGCTAGGTCCTGTGTGCTAAATTTAAGAGGAAGAAACTGGTTAAATCTCTTCTAAGTATTCCTGAAAACCTATGAAATTCACAGTCACCCTAAGTCAACAAGCACAAACATGCATATGCACACATTTCCATCAAGATAGTAAAGTTTAAACCACTTTTGAAGGGGCAGGCTGGTGTTCCAAATTCTGCAAGTAAGGTAACATTCAACACGTAGGAAAGGTTACACTGTCATTTAAAGGAGGCAAAAATTTCTGTTGGCCTTGCATCTCTCAAATCAAGATGTCACTCAGAAAAATGGTTTCGGCATGAAGACATACACTATCAATCAAAAGAACTTTGTGAAAGAGCATTGCTCGGGCAAGAAGTCTATGTCACCATGAGAATGGTATCTGCTGTGCATGCTTTCAGCGTATGAAGCTTTTGGGGAAATGCTGATCTTTTTCATCCTGCCAACACCCTTGTGATGCAGGTCTCTTTATAAAGTGCCCTTGTGAACTAGCCTTAGTTGCTTTTAGGAAGTAAACAGATGGGCCTCTTCCTCCTATCCTTCATTTTCCAAAACCCCAAAAGGCAAGATTAACTTAAAATACTTAGCATAAACCTAAGAAGCCCTCTGTTTCTCTTGTTTTTTTGCAGGAACAATTAAGCCATGTTTCATAAGTGGGTTTTTAATAGCTGTTTGAAGGTGCCTCCAGAATTTGGGTTTGTGTAACTTAATTTTATTGACACTTTTTATTCCCATTTTAGTGCCCAATAAAATTCTGTTTTTGTTTTAAAAATCATAATGTCCTTATGAATGACAATAAAAAAAACAGGTGCAATCTTGCATTCGGTTCTTATGGCCTTTTTAATGGATTGGTGCTGTTAGCAACTGGATATATTTTTTGTGTCAGGAGCGACTTGAGAAACTGCAAGTTGCTTCTGGTATGAGAGAATTGGCCGTCTGCAAGGACGTTGCCCAGGGGACACCCAGATGTTTTACCATCCTGTGGGAGGCTTTTCCCATGTCCCCGCAGGAGAAGCTAGAGCTGACAGATGGGAGCTCACCCTGCTCCCTGTCTTCAAATGGCCAACCTTTTGGTCAGCAGTCCTCTCGGCACGAGGGTTTAACTCATTTCGCCACCGGGGGCTGGATGAATAATATAAGCATTTTTTAATCCAATTGAGAGTTTTTAAAGCCTTCAGAGCCTTTGAAGACTACTGTCTAAACTTAGTTGAATAACTTCAAAAATAAGTCAATAGCAACATTCCAATTCTATAATTCTACATGTAATGATTTTAAAGGCATTTTTCTGATGATAGGATGTACATCCTAGGGTTTTTTCTCCTCTCAACCTGTTTTAGAGGTTTATTCCATTTTCAGATACCTGAGACATGCTTCAGACACTTTTTTTCTTACAAGTTGCATTCATTCATTCATCCCATGTTGAATTGGACTGTCAAACAAATGATTACTCACCCATCCGCAATAAATGAATCCATAAAGCAAAATTCCATTGCTCTTCACAACTAGTGAAGGCTAATTGAATCAGTGGCACGTTCATAAGTATTGATATATCCAAGTCCCATTAATTCACTAGGTTTGTTCTACTTGGTACTTACAATTGGCTTTGGTCTCAAGTGTTTGCAAATATAGCCTGTCCATGCACTTAACTTATGGTTACCTCAATCTAAAATGCATTGTTTGTAGTGACTGTGCTCCTTAGTGTAATGCATTTTCTCACCAGTTCGTCTCTGCACCGATCGACTCAGCCTTATCAAGGAATGCCTCTTGCAGCTGCCAACAAACTACAAGCAATCTGCCAAGCTCTTGGGACTTGCAAATTTGCTGAAGGTTGCAGGTAAAATAAAATTGCTTTGAAAGATACTGGTGTTTTATATTGAGAGCGTTTGACGTCATAGGGGATTCATTCAAGGATCTTTTCAAAGATCCTAAGTTGTCTTTAGAGAGACTTGACATGCTGTTATATACTGCACCACTGCAACTTGCTGTTTAACATAAAATGCAAATAGATTTCATTTTGATTTCATGCCGAGACCTTCTCTCATCAACAAACTGTACATCAATGAAAGTGTATTTACTACTTTGTGCCACTTGTTAGCATTAAGCGTCAATATATCTCTTATCCTGTAAACAAAAATAACAGCTATGACTTTGGGCAAATTGAACCCCATATAAATCACCTTCTCTAAAATAAGATTTATGCACAGTTCTTCCTTGAGGCCATTCTATTGGAAAGCGTGGAAAAAGAGGTTAAGAATAATAGTGTTGCTCATAACAAGTTACTTGGATATCCTTGAAGTAGAGTGAAAATATGTATATTCCTCTGACAAGGGTTCTTGCAAACACTTTCATTGTTTATATTCCTCTAGACTCCCTTAAAATGGCCAAGAATTGTGAGAAGATCTGTAGACGAGTGCTGTACTGGAAATTAGATTTTCAGGATAAGGATCTGTGATGGTTTTGAGGATGCTTTGCAAACTTGTGATTTAAAGGAGTCATCTGTAGAATGCTCTACTTATTGGGAGGACTTGAACAGCTTTCATTTTATTGTTGAAGGTTTTCATGGCTGGAATCACTGGGTTGCTTTAAGAGTTTTGGGCTGTATGGCAATGTTCCAGAAGCATTCTCTCATAGGAGAGAATGCTTCTAGAACATGGCCATACAGCCTGAAAAATTTACAGCAACCCAGCTTTCATTTAATTCTCCATGTAACACAGATAATGGCTTCATCAGTAATTCATCACTAATCACAGTGCATGTGCTTTTAAACGTATATCTCTCATTGAACCTATGACAGTGCTCACTTCATTATATAAATGGGAACAATTATATTTTTAATTGTTAATATCAATTAGAAATCTCAGCAGTGAATAAATCTTTTCTCTTGTAGCATGAGGAGAAGTTGCAATCTTCAGAATCTGTTTCTAGCCTAAATTCATCTTCGCAGATGAGATATCTCCCTGAAAAACAACTGTAAACACTCTGCTTATCCAACTATTCTGTATATCTTTCTACATCTACACTAGATACAGGGGTTATAATTAATTGTTTATTCCAACATTTGACAGGCTTTAGGCGACTAGAAGAACTCTATAATTCTTCTCTTTCTTAAATTATACCCTTTTTAAAAAGAGTAAAGTGTGGAACAGTAGAAACTTTGGTTTCTCTTTCAGTCTGTTCATGGTGGTTTGTTTGGAATGCTGTTTGAATTATAGTGTATGTCTATCCAGAAGTTAATAATTTTTTTATTTGATAAAAGTGATATAAATATATTCTGTTACAATTCAGTAGAGATAATTTGAAAATAGCTGAGATGCAAGTGTCTTTCAATCTCTTTTTCACTGTTTGGCAGTTAGAAATGGTCAGAAGTGGGCAACTTTTAGAACATTTTTCAAGGAAAAAACAAAGATTGTGTGGTTTGTTCCAAGAGATTATTAAGTAGGAGATGTTCACTTAATTATGTACCTGGTATTTAATTACCTGGTCATAAATATCCCAGCCATTCCCTGGCAGGTTTTTTTGTGTGTTTTCAACCCGTCTTTTTGACAATTTGATTTGATTTAATTTGACAAATAGCAGTATTTTTCAAACATTTTTGTTTCTCTGATGTCTATGATTTATGATCCATTGTACTTCTGTCTGTCTTTGTTTATCTGGACTGTTGACTTGCTGAACAATTTCTGGACTGGCTGATGACACCACTTAAATGCCAATACTTAATTCTATGAAATCATGGGAGTTGTAGCTTGGTGAGGCTCCAAGAAGTCTTAAGATCTTGTAAAAGTATAGCTGCCTTGATTCCATAGTATTAAACCATGGGTGTTAAAGTGGCCTAAAACTGCAGTCATTCTACAATGTGGATGCACTTTAAGTTAAACTTAGCCTGGGAAACAGGATAGGAAGAACCCACTGGTTTTCCAAAGGAGAGAGCCCACAAAAACAAAACCTTTCCCAACCACAAATACCTTGAATAAAACCTAGAAATGGACTAGAAACTAAAATTCAGTCATACTACTTCATGAAGACAACACTGAATTCGTTAAATCAACACTGGGTGATGTATTTAGCTTTAATTGATGTTTGTAAGCATGCAAGCCCTATGTTCTCTTGGATCAAAAGAAAATATGGGGGAGGCAGACCTGAGATAGAGCAGTCCAGTTGTGCTTTACTTATGTCCCCATATCAGTTAGAAGGTGGAATGAGTCCAGTCCACCACTTTATAAGCTAGAACACCTCCAGTCAGCACTTTACATGAAGACTGGTGACATTAAGAGATTCTCCTCCCTCCCCCCCAAAAAAAAATCATTTTAGGATTTGGCATCTGACACCATCAGGTCTTTGACCAAGAACGAAGGAGTGGTTCAGCGCTTTTAAAAGAGCAAGTCATCCTCCCTTCCACTGCTGTTCAACAATGTTAGTTTCCATTGTGAGAAGATGAAACTCATTTACCTTGGTTTATTATATGCCCAAGCTAAACTGCAAAAATTCAGATATGTGCATATATTTTATGCCTCAGTGACCTTATGACGATAGCAGAGGCCAATATTCTACTTCCATAAAATGAAGAAAAAATAATGGCGATCTTTTGTTTTATAATTTAATTGGTAAATATAGATTGTATAGACACCATTAAGTTTTATCGGAGACAAGCGTTACACAGTGTAGTTAAAGCTTTGTCAGCATGTCCATTAGCTGTCATGCGCTGCCAGAGTTTATTACACGATTTAGGTAGTTGTACTCTTGAAAGCTACTTTACATGCACTATAAAAGAAACAGTTTGGTATTAGTCAGGGGAGATATTCTTTTGGGGTCCCCCCCCCAAGCTTGTTTTCAGCATTTTCACCAAACAAAGCCAAATTGATAACTTAGACACCAAAAAATGGTGATCTTTTAAAATGTAAGCACAAGCTACTGTATCATCTTTAGCTCCCTAGCAATTTCAGCCATCAAATCTGAATTCCTTTTGTGACCACCTATATACTACTTTTATTCCTTGCTTTAAAGTTGGTTTTGTAAATGATTTTCATTTTCGAGATAGTTTAACGCTATTTTAAATATGTCTTTTTGTACTTCTTAGATACAACCCAGCTACAAATATTTTTATTGGTATTTCCTTTTATTGTGTATGTTGCCTTGTGTCCCAACTTTAGGGAAAACATGTGTTGTAATTTTTAAAAAATACAACAAGATACTATACAATGCAATATGCTGCAAATCTCAATTTGGCAAGCAAATCTTACTAAAATATCTTCAAAGTCTTTTCTTGGAGGTGAATAAATATAGGAGCTCATTTGTATATCTTTTTTATTTTGGATTATTGTAAGAGGCAGATTGACCTGCATGTTGAGAAGCTGGTCAAATGGTCAAGAAAATGAGGAACTAACTTTCCTTCCTAGCTTTTAGATTGAATTCATGATATTATTGTAGTTCAGCCCATGGTTGCGGCTGATACCAATGTAAATGGGGGAATTGAGCATGGGAATTCTGGGCCTGCAAGCCAACATAAGATTTTAAGTCCTGAAAATGATCAGTCTTTGTCTCCAGCAGTTTGTGAAGGTCACATTCCAGAAAGATGCCAAGATGGTGCAGATGAGTCATTCTCTTGGGAAATGAGTTCTGAGAATGAAATCCCAGGTGCAGAGAATAAATGAGTTGCAAGATAATGAGCAGATTGATAGGAGGCTCAGTTTTCGTAAACTTTGTGTTGCTCAACAGAATCTCTGAAGATCGCAGCACTTGTTACTGAAGAAATCCATTTCAGGAAGTCATGGGAAGAGGCATGACTTCATGTGTATATTAGAGAGGCCAGCTTTCCCAGTCAGTCTGGTCAACATTGGTAATTGAGGCAACAGCTCTTGCCAAGTCCTAGCCAAGGTTTCGGAGGAAAGTCTAGTTATGTCTTTGTTCCTGTTTCATACTTCCAAGTTTGAAGGATTGCTGCCATATGCTTCCTGGTTTTGTTATATTTCTGTGCTGGATATCATGTTGCTTTGGGACATGTGAACCTTGTGGACTATTTTATGCATATAGACTTGGAAGTTTTTACTATTTTTGCTGAAATGTTTTTTATATAATCTTCAATAAATTGCTTTTCCTGATTTAAGTTGGAGTGTGGCGGTTAAGGACAGAGGTGTTCCCTGGCCTGGAATGCAACAGATATACCTTTTGATGGACATGCTTTTTAAAAAAATCTAATAACTTCAATGTTATTATTCCAACACTTATATTATTAATTCCACATTTTCCCAGGCAATGCTCAGTAGTGTACATTGTTACAGATCACCCTTTGAAGTTGGAAGGTTCAAACAAGGAGGAGGTAGATTGACAGGAGTTTACAGCTTCTGATAATCATGATTTCTCTGAGCCTGAGGAGGTGGGGAATGAAACAGAGGGAGGTCCTACTACTCAGTAGGAGATTGCAGATGCTAAAGACCCATTATCATGATTCAATGACTGAAGAGAGAAGCGAAGAGAGAGTGTGTTCTTCCCAGTGCTTGTTAAGTAGCAGACACTGACTTAATTAGATGCTTGGTATTTTCAAATGGTTGTCCTTAAATCTCTATGGCAATTCTGTTTCTTTCAATCCTCCTTGGTGACTAGCTCTATTGCTTCTCCCTTCAGTCTGCTGAATGTCCTGTGAGTGACATGAACTGAATTAACTTCTTGAAAGCTCTTAAACCAACAATCTGGTTCCTGGGTCACTTGCTTGACTGGAACATAGGACATATATGGCTCGTCACCATGCAATCCCACCTGCAGTGAAATAGGGATTGACTTCATATTCACTATCTCATGTATGGCTGTGTGAGAACTGAGTCTTAACATTTCCTAAGCCCT